GGACATGCAAAAGGGAAGCACAAGCTGGTGAAGGTTGAATACTGCTGCTTACTGGACTACCCACTTACCACCTCAGAGAGTGCTCCGAGTGCACGAATGTCAACTGTGGCCATAAAATTGATAGTCTGTAGTCAGTTGTCTCTCTATCACACTGTTTGCCACTTAGACACATTGGATTTTAAAAATGCATGCAGCCAGTTCCAAACAGTGACTACTGCTATCGACGCATTAATTTGCATGATATCCTTCAAATATTTTGTGTGGGCATTGTTGCCTTGAATCAAAACCTTGCAATTAGGGTTAGGGCTAGGGCACTAAGGAGGTCGAGAGCCACTGTGGCCACCTCACCTGCGTGGCGTCGTCCATTCTGAAGTGGCAGTCCCGAAGCCACCATGTAGGCGTCTCCTATTGTTTCTACCTACACAGTGTAAAATACTAACGTCGAATAGTGTAAAGCGAGTAGCCTTTGTTAAGGCTTAAATTATTTTTATTCCGCCTTTTGTTTATTTGAAGGACAATCTTTGTTATTGCATGTCTGCTTGCTGAGATGACCTCTAGGACATGGTACTTGCCTTAAAGCCCATCTTTACATTAGTGATATATGTTCAATTAGAGTGTTTTATCTACTTTCGTCTTTAAAATAGGATAAGATTATAAGTTTGAGGCGTAGGAACTTCCAAAACAAGGTCTAGTAGCAGACATATATATCAGAATAAAAAAAATTATTCAAAAATTGGTACCCCTTCTTTTTTCAATTAAGTAGATATGACACAAATAGATATGACTAGGCAGCACTGACACAAACGCTTCATTTTATGTTTAATAAATTATTTTGAACGCTATAATATTGGAAAATTATCCTAGTGTTAGTCTAATGTATTTACGACTGGAAATAAGCACGTAATAATCTCTACATTCCTTTTCTCTCAAATGCTGATCCACTTTAATTATTAACAAAAATTAATTTACAGGCAAGAAAATTATCATTTTTAAAAAACATCTCGATTACTGTGTGTTCTTCTTGCAGCATCAACTTCATTCTAATAAGTAACGCATATGACTAATAAAAAAAATTGGAAGCGACGCCTATGGACCGAAGAAAGCTTTATGTTGCCTTGATTTTTCTATTTTTTGTTCTGAAGATACTAATGTCTAGATTTATGCATCTCATTAAAAGATCCTTTAAATACTTCGAGAAATAAAATGCACCACTGCCTAAGGGAATTTATATTTTGTGTTATGGAATAATTTTATAATTTCGAATTTAACAAAAAAGTAGGTTTAGGTATTTTTTAGTTATTCTACAACAAATAGAAAAAGGTAGAATCTCATAATTTGACTTTGCTTCATTTGAGGCAATAAAAGTAAACAATAAGAAAAATGCCACATATTTTAAATCTGAAATTTAACTAACAAATAAATATCACAGAGCGTCCTACTTCTTAGACAAATAAAACTAATGATA